TATGATTCTATGATTCTATGAACGGGGAGAGAAGGGTGGCGTAGGTTTGTATTGATACAAACCCCTTTGATTTCTGTAGGGCTCAGTATATTCAGGAACAATAACAACATGAACCCCAGCTTTACCCAAAGACTCATTTAAATCCTTAAAACCAACTTTGCATGCATTCCTTTGTGGGACAGAAGACCTCTGGAAGTTGTATGAAGAACTACCCAAAGAACTGGGAAGTTGTTGCGGTGTGGCTCGGAGATGATGCCTTTTAGTTTAGCATTGTAAAAGCCGCTGTGGCTGCCTGAGGGAAGAGGGCGGTTAGTGCTTCTCTGCAGCCTTGCTTTCCAATTCATCCCAATTTTACAGATTTTATGCAGCTGGGTTGATGTCAGAGCAAACTTGTAGTCTCATGTCCCTGGCTACAAGCACAGCTCAGATCTGGCACTGCACTGAGATGTTCCCTCGTTACATGCGGACCAGCATTAATTAGCTGTGTAACCTGGGGAGCGATCCCCCAAACTATAAACCAAGCAAACAAAACCAAACACAGATACGACGTGATGGGGACAGTCTGGCAAGTTCTAGGCTTGTCTTTGAACCTGAGCAAAATAGGGTTCTTTGGGGAACCCCTCAGTTAAATTTCCCTCTGCTATTACTACGTGCCAGACAAGGTGTGCTTATAAAGGAGACATCCTGCTAGTATTTGGTATGAAATACAGGTTGGTTAATTAAAGTGACAACAGTAGCATCATATACTGCTGTAGGCGTTTGGTACCAAGTGAGGGTTTGGCACAGCAGGGCAAATCGTACCAAACACAGCACAAGGTGCAGGAATTTCATTCCCTGGAGCATTTGACGTGTCGGCCCAGAAGGGATTCTCCAGTGGCTGTTTCTAGTGATGTTCCACAAAAAGCGCTGCTGTGTACACTGCTTCATGATTTTATCAGTCACCTGGAAACAAAGAAAGCTTCATTTTTATTCCTGCTAAGGGGATGGGGGACTCTAGGTTGGGGAAGCTATGGCTCTGAAAAAGTGTTGAAGATCCTGCTTGAAGAATCAATTTAATGTCAGTTTTCAGTCCCCGCTGGGCTAGTGCAATCTTCAGCTGTATACATGGGGGAAATGTGTAAATGTTGCATTACATTTGTAGCTCACACTGATTCCCCAGAGCTGTTACTGGGATATTTGTCAAGCTCCGGTACCTGGTGTTCATGGCAGGATGTCAGTCAGAGAGTAGTCAGAGAGGAGCCAAGAGATGATACACAGGAGTTGATAGTGGCTTTAGTGACTTGTTTAAAGTGAGCATGTAGGATAGAGAGCTTCAATTACTTTTTTGGCCTTAAAAATTCCAAAATGTTTTCCTCAGATGCCTGTGTTAGGAGAGAGGATAGAAATGACTGCTCCTGAGAATTACAGAGTTTCCCACGTGGGAAAGTCCCTGCTAGCTTATATTTACAATTAGCAATTATAATACGTCTTTTATTACTCATTTCCGTGGCAGCAGATCTCTGTCACAGCGACTAGCATGAGCTAATAAAGCACTCAGAAGCCACAAAGCATTAAACCATTCGGAGTTCATTGTACGATACTGATCTGCTCAGTCTCCTGGACAGGCCCTTACGTCTTCTCTCAGCCTAGCAGCCTTCTCCCTGAAGTCAGCAGAAGGTGCTGTTGAGTAGAGATGAAGGATTTGGCTGAGAAATGTTTACTGTGAGCGCATCCTGCTCACTTCAGTGGCTGTAGATTAGGTGTTTCTTGTTTGCATGTCATGCTACTTATGCTTTTAATTGTGTGATTTCTGATACTCTGAATTAATTTGTTTTAAATAATGATTTGAAATACCTCCAAAACAAAAATAATGTAGTTACTGTCGTTATTTTAATCTTTTATGAGTAAATAACTGCAAGTTGCTATCTGACTTTTTTTTTTCTTAAGGGAAAAAGAGCAGTGCTCTTACGTTAAACATATCATCGTTTATTGCTAGCGGAGGGAGGGGGAAAGTCGGTGTGGTTTGTAAAGAAATGGCATGACAATCTAATATCTGTTAATAGAATCCCACACGCTTTGTTAGGATGTGACATGTTTTCCAGTTTAATGATATTTGTGCAATTACTGAAAGAAGTCTCATGCAGAACTGTCAGAAAAGCAGTTACAGTAAACAATGGTGAACTTGTGGTTTTCTTTCAGCTGTTTGCTTCCAGTGTGGAAGGAAAGAGTTCTCCCAGTGAAGTGTTGGTCTGTACAACAAGCCCAGACAGGCCAGGACCTCCAACCAGACCTGTTATTCAGGGGCCGATAACATCTCACGGCTTTAGTGTGAAGTGGGGTAAGCCAGTTCAGTTTGTCATAGTAGAGTGGTTTTGGGGTCATAATACATGCAAATAAAATTATGTAAATGTGTATTAAAAGTTAGATATTTTCATGCTGCTTCTCAGTCCAAAGTTGGACATGTTTGGAGAGCCTGACAACCTAATTTTCTGATAATTTAGAGGCGCTTATGTTTTCAGAATCAAAAATGTTGCTTGTATTTATTGACTAAATTGCACTCGAGTGCAATTTCAGGATTTTCACCTTCCATTTCATGTCCTATTGCAGCTTCATCCAGCTGTTTCCTTTGTCGATGGGGCAAGCCTCCATACTGCACCTCTCCTTCAGTGCTTTTTCCATGTCTTGTTTGTAGCATCATTACCCAGCCACCTTATTCTGACTCATGCTGAAAACTAACTTCTGCTACCCACCTGTGCTATAAAATCCATGGTGTAGTTAGTGTGGGAGAGTTTGCAGAGGAGAAGGAGCACAATCAGAAACTGGTTCTGTAATGTTTGTTGTATTTCACTCCTAATTGTGATTTACTAACAATTTACTCTATTTTTTTCAGATCCTCCACAGGATAATGGTGGTTCAGAAATCCTAAAGTATCTACTAGAGATTTCTCAAGGAAGTCCAGAAGGTAAACTTGAAACAAATTGTCTCTGTTTGTATCCATTATGGGTACTATAAAGAAGTACTGACCCTTTGGGCTATTATTGTTATTGTCATTAATGCACTAATGCTGTACGCCTGATTGAAGCTGAATTACGTACTTCTAGCCTTAAAACTTGCAGGGTTCCTGGGAGAGTTTGGGTTGGGCTTTGGGGAGTTTTTGCTGTGATTTATTTTTAAGTGTGCTCTTTTCTAATACTGTTAGAATTTTAGGTTATATGGCTGAACTTACTGTTTGATTTAAAATTTGTAGTGTGTTTTTAGAAATATTTATATTTGTAAGTATATATATTTGTCTATGTGTCTATGTGTATATACATCTTTAAGTGGGAATAATAGTCATAGTAATATTGACACTATGACTTTCCTGAAATATGTCTCTTATGGAAAACCACAGTAAGGATTTTCTTTCCTCTTAGACACTTACAAACTTGTTGCATTACACTTTTCTAAACTTGGATTTATCTCACATTTTAGCAAATCAGTGGGAAGTGGCGTATAGTGGATCGGCTACAGAATATACCTGTACTCACTTGAAACCAGGCACTTTGTATAAACTCCGGGCATGCTGTATCAGCACCGGCGGACACAGTCAGGTAAGTATAACTGAACAGTAAGGAATCCAGTTTTTCTGTTTTTCAGAGATTTATCTGCTATTTTTGACAAAAGATTTCTGCTGTGAAAAGGAAGGTGAATATTTTTCCTGAAGCACAGTAAAGCTACACTCTTTGCAATTATCTTGCATTGCAAGTTGCTGGATTTTAGAAGACTTTAATGTGTACCTGATGGAGGTTTTTTGAGGCAAATTAGTGAGACTCATTTTCCTCAAAACCAATCTGTAGTTATTTATACTTACACTAGGCAACACCACCGTATTTATCTGATCTGGCCACTTGCTTGAGCAGGGCCACAGACTCTCACGTACATCAGCCTGTATTGACCAAAGCTGGTGAGTGAAGATGCAGTAGGGGTAATTTGTTGTTGCAGTTAATGACCTTTCATGTGGCTGAATTCCTCTTTAAATTTTTGGGTTCCATTTTCCAGCTACTGATGTCTGTCATTCCCTTCTTTGATTTAAAATCATTTCAGTACCTATGCTTTTATTCCTCCTTCTTTGATATTTTTTTTCTTTTATAATTAGAGTATTTTAGGCCCTGATATTATTTTAAAACGAAGGGAAACTAAATCAAAGAGCCTCACAACATTAGCTGTCAGTTTCCTGTGCTACAGTTTTGAGTATGCTAAAGAAAAAACTATTGGTTGGATTTTTAACATGCTTAATAGCATCTCCTAACCTTTATCATTCGTATAATCTTCTAGTAAGTGGTTGTTCTAGAAAAACATTTCATGTGCCACTTTCTAAACAAGCCTCACTGTAGGCAGTAATCCTAGTGGAGACCTAACTTCAGCTGCTGTTCTCTTCCAGTGTTCTGAAAGTTTACCTGTCCGTACACTAAGTGTTGCACCAGGTCATTGCCGGCCACCAAGAGTTTTGGGGAAGCCAAAGCACAAAGAAGTACAGCTACAATGGGGTAAGCTGTTGGAGCACGTCACTGTTCAATAGCTTTGATCTCGATGGTTAGTTGCAAAACTTGTCTTAGCTTTTATTTCTGTTGGACATTGAAGAGTTGCAGTGTATTCTGTTCACTAGGAAGTACAAAGCCAAGTCCAGTAAAGTCTGTCCAAATCAGAAGTGCAACTTCTCATTGGCTGCTGTGGCTCTGCATTGGGTTTCTGAACTTAGCTGTCCTCCAGCTGTCCCTTAGGCCTGATACTGTGCTCCTGTTTTTGTTGCAGTCAGAACTATAAAGTGTCAGCTGTATTAGAATATCTGTCCTTTCATTGCAAAACCACTGTGATTCAAGGTCGGTTTTATTCCTTTGCAATTCTGACTTAGCAAAAGTGTTTTGCTAATTCTGATGTAGGACTCTGCTCAGAAATTTGAGTTAGAACATACTGAGGATTTTGGGTGGTATTTAAACCCTGGTCCACAGTACAACACACAATCCACTGAGCACCTGTAATTTTGCTAAGGACTTGAACCTTGGACATGAAGCTAAACTGTCAGAAAATGCACATTTTTCAGAACACAAGGTACATGCCGGCATGCAACAGACTTTTTTCTTTAATATGATAATCTTGCAGTATCCAAGATTCTTTGTGACATCATTTGTTAAGCTAAATTCTACACCAGTACTATTTCTAACTGCAGTACCATTTCTAACTGACAAATATATCTCATAATTTGCAAATATGATCCAATAAATTGTTTTCATGGGGGAATGATGTGCCCACAACAAAGCGTGCAGGCACAGAACACAAATTGTTTCCCAAAAAGCTGTTATTCCAAGTGAAGCGCAGGGTTTAGATCATTGTACAGATTTAGAATCTCATAGATGTTAGCAGTATGACTAAAAAAGTTCAAGGACGGCAGTTGTTCGTACTTTTATTGGGTGTTCATGAGGCTTTGCCAGAAATCCCATGTATAAGTAGTGGTTTTGGAGTGTCCATGACCCACATCAGCCTGTGTCCAACCATAGCCAGCAGCCAAGACTGGCTCAGACACTCACCATGTGCCTCCTAATTTCTCTCTGTCCCAGAACGGGCCCATTCAGCTCTAGTCCCATTTTTTATGCAGCTTTCCATGCCTTTTCTCATGCCTCGCTGACCAGTGTTTTTTTGCACACACCATCACCTTTGATACTGGGGGAAAGAAGCTGAGTAGATTTTACTCATCCTCAGAAGAGGATGGTAGTCACTGTGTCCTGCTTAAGAAGGAGCTGGGCACCTCCCGGCCCCAAACACAGCTTCCTGGGGTGAAAGATCATTGCCTTGGGGGAGCTGCTGCTCTCCCATCTGACGTTCTGACCTGGTGAATGTTTAGAGTTAAGAGTACTTTTATTCATTGGCTTTAGAAATGTCGATTGTAGAGATGGCTGAGACATTGCAGGTAAGGTGTCTGTCAAAGAGAAAACTCATCACTGGTAGCTTGTGTGTCTGTGCTATGTAAAGCAAAAAATTAACCTTAGTGGCATATGTCCTTATGTTATTAATGAATTATTTCTTTCTAGATGTGCCTCCCTCAGAAAGTGGCTGTCCCGTCTCAGAGTACAGCGTAGAAATGACAGAACCCGAAGAAGTTGTTTCTGAGGTCTATCATGGCCCTGATCTGGAGTGCACCGTCAGCAACCTCCTTCCTGGAGCAACGTACCGGTTCAGAGTGAGAGCCTTAAACGATGGCGGGGTACGTGCAGCATGCTGGAGGTGGTACTATGCCTGAGGTGGGCGATGCTGGAAACTGTTAGTGCCCATGGTCAGAAAGGTGAAGGGGAGATGGGCAAGAAGAAAATAGAGAAATGCTTAAAGGAACTTTTGAGGAAGAGCTGCAATTTTGAATCTGGTACACTTGGAAAAGGAGATTTCGGGCACTAATATGATTTGACTGTCCAAAATCAGCTGAGCCAAAATGTATGTAGTCTCTGCTAATAGTTATATCTGCATACAAGGAGGAATCTATTCCCCTTCCATTGCTTTTTTTTTGTTTTGTTTCATTATATCTTTGTGGAAACAAACCCTGAAATTTCACTCGGGTATTGATATACTGGGAGGAAAGCTTGCGTTATTAATGATTTTTTTGTTTATTCATGAAAAAAATCACATGCTTTATAGATTTGATGATTATTTAGTCATATATCCATGGAAGGTGTGCCTTCCCAAGTACACCAGAAAGCCTATCAGATGTCCATGGAGATCTGTTGAAAGATTCCTGCCTATTCACTGAGGTTTGGATTGGTTCTGCTTGCCTTTGAGAGCATCTTGCCAGTGTTTTTCATAAAGGCACTCTCAGCAACAGTACATGCACATTGATCTGTTTGTTCCCAGGAGATCTTGATGACAAATGTAACATAAAGGTTTAAAGTTATTCTCTTACAGGGAGAAGTTCTGTTAAAATGTAACTGAAGTAGAAAAATATGCAAGACTGCTGAAACTGTTGTGTCTTTAAAATATTCACTGATTCATTTTTGTGAAAAATTAATTAAGTACATGTGGAGGGATTGGATTTGCTCGCTGGAATGAAAGCAGTTGCCTCCCTGATGGCTTTGGATATACGATACCTTGACTTCTTTCTCTCTCTTTTTTTTTTTTTTTTTGGGCAAAACTGTGTGTGAAGTTGCAAAGCATTTCTAGTCCCAGCCTTTGTGAAATGGCCAGTTGTGGTTTGGTGGGTTTGTTTGGGTTTTTTTTACCAGATGCAAAAGTGCGGGTGGAGAGCAGTGTTCTTTACAGGATGCAAAAGCCTTTTTTCCTTCCATTAGGTAAAGAAAACAGCAGAGGTCAGTAAATCAGGTTTTTTGAAGTGTGCGTTCTTTGCCATTCAAACAACACGGGTCAGTGTTAGCCTTTCTCAACACCGCTGTTGTGAGGTTTTTTGGGCTTCACAGTTTCAGTGTTGTTTAGCTTTGGTAGTGGCTCTTTTTGGTTTTGGGGGTTTTGGTTTTTTTTCATATTTGCTGGTATCGAATTCCAAAATAAGTCAATATCAGTGTTTTTCCTCTAATTGCTTCCAGGGAAGTTCCTTTCTTCTGGAGAATGATTCTAATTAGCTTGGGGACCTACTAAACTTCATTGTCTCACTGAAGTGGCCTCAGAAAGGCTATTTCCACTGTTATCTCTCTTGTCATAGAATCATAGAATCACAGAATGGTTTGGGTTGGAAGGGACCTTAAAGATCATCTAGTTCCACCCCCCCTGCCATGGGCAGGGACACCTTCCACTAGACCAGGGTGCTCAGAGCCACATCCAGTCTGGCCTTGAAGACATCCAGGGATGGGGCATCCCCAACATCTCTGGGCAACCTGTTCCAGTGCCTCACCACCCTCTCTGTGAATAATTTCTTCCTGACATCTAATCTAAACCTCCCTGATTTCAGTTTATACCCATTACCCCTTGTCCTATCACTACAGGCTTGTCCTCCCACTGCTGGCTGAAGCCGGTTTTCCTGACCCTTGAAGTTTGTTTTTTATTTTGCTAAAATGCGTTTAAATTATTCTCCTGCCAAAGGCTCAAAAGTTGCCTGAGCAGTTGGCTTAGCTGCCTGCGGAGCTAAACCCTATGAGGTGCCTTTGCAGCGTGCCTCTGCACGTTGAACCCAGGCTGGGGCTCCATCCCATGCCAGCCTTTTACAATTAACGTGTGGCACACACTGTATCCAAACGAAGCTGGATTTGGACTCGTTATGTGCTTTACTGTTGCTGTGCTCTTCCTTATATCCACGAGAAGCCAGTTATGCTGGGCTACGGCACAGACATGCCAGTGCATTAAGGGAAGGTAGAGGGACGCTGGGTTCCTCACTCTGCTGCTGAGGGTACATTCACTCTTGGGTAAATTGGAGGTGGCTTATGCTTTCATGGGCACTCACTGCCACACAGGAGGGTGTACGTGCTGTCTGCTCATACTCCTCACGTTCTAACGTGGCAGCAATCTGCGTCTTCTCCTACTGAGCTCTGGTGTTTGGTGCCGGAAGCCTGGTCTGTCTGAGAGAAAGTTCATTGTGTTGAAGAAGTTCCTGTGTTCTCTTCCGTGAAAGCCTTTGAGGAATGTGAGATGGTTGTATGCCTATTTATTAATGCACAGGCACCTTGTTCCCCTCCAGTACGGGCCGTATTCGGAAGCGACAGAAGTCACCACGGCAGCGGGACCGCCCGGCCAGTGCAGAGCTCCTTCCCTCTCCTTTCTGTCCAACACACGTGTGCTTGTAAGCTGGGAGGTGAGTCAGGTGCCCTGATGGTTTGATTCCCATCTTGCTTATCCATACCAATATGGTCACTGCAAAGCTTGAAAGCTGGCTTGAGACCTATTCACTGGTATGGAACTGGGGCTTGGTGCAAGAAAACCATTCACAGAAACCCTTCTGTGGTAGGAAATCTTCTCTACTTTTCCCTTTTAAGAGTTGCGTGAAGTAGATCGTGAGTCGTCTGGGCCGGGATTCAGACATGAGACCTCCTACGCTGGCGTCAGATGACAGAGCGCTGGCTGGGTAGAAGTGCTCTCTGCAGGCTTTTAGCATGTCAGTGTCTTGGGGTGGGATTGGGAAGGCAAATACTTGATTTTGGCTGAAGCTGGAGTCTCTGATACAAAATGAACTCAGCACAGATGCTCACGATATAAGGTTTTTTCCTCAAAAATTGTTTGTCCCTTCCCCAAATATTTACTTTCAGTTTGTTTGCATTCATTTTCCAGGATCTTAGACACTGGACTCTTAAAGTGAGTCTTAACTGAAATGCTAGAGGGTTGATTGGTGTCATTAAAAAAATGGAAGTTATGTAATTAAGGCAGAAAGGAAAGGATGTTATCGTAAATAGGGTTGTGATAAAGGGCTGCAATTTTGCCACAGACTTTGAAAACCTAGCAGCTGTTCCAGCCCTGCATTTGTTGGGTCCCTCCACAAAAGGATGCCCCTGTTGAGAAAGAAGTTATTAATGGTCACAAAATGCTCAAATAAATTGATTGTGCTAACAACTATCTAGATACAAACATATTCTGAGTTTAATCTTATCATGAAACGGGTGTGTTTGGTGCAGTTTGGAGCTCTTTGTTAGTATTTCTGCAACAGTCTGTGATTCTAAGCCAGAAGTCCCACTAAACTTGTAAATGTAACCTTTTTATTGAGTGTATGGACAGGCATTTGCTCTCCCCATCCATGTGTGAAGGCAGCAGTGTTTCTGCTGTTCTGCCAATGTATCTGTGGGATATGGTTTTGTTTGTGTTAGCTAAAAATGAAGCTGTGAAAGGAGAAGAGTGGTTTGCAATGGTTATGTTTTCTTGAAGAGTACCATTTTTCGGTTGATATGAATGTGAAGAAAACCAGCAGAGGACTGTGGAGGTGTTTTGCCTGGCTAGAGACCACACCGTGGTGCCTACTCTGCCTTTTACACATTGTTTTAAAGTGCTGGCTTTGCAGTTCTGAATGCTCCTACTAAAATAGCTAGAGCTAGAGAAGCCCATGTGGGTGTGCAGGGTGATCATCGTGCTGTGCAGCAATACTCTGGATCTTTTACTGGAGATAAACCTTGCATACCATAATCACAAAGTCTTTGCCATATCCTAGACCCTACTCGTGCACGTAGAGCAGCGATTCCCCAAACCTCTTCAGTCCACACAGAGCAACTCTAGGTAGTTGTGGTAAAAACAGGAGGTATTTTGGGTTGGGAATCATTCTTTTAGGTCTGCGATAGCTTCTCTCCAGCAAATTCAGGTATTTATTCCATGTTCCCCTAGACTTCAGGATGATAAAGGGGTTGCTGAGGACATATGGATCCTGTAGGGGTCATTTTGTGGATGTTGATGTACCCGGGTCCATGCTCCCGTGTCCCATACTGAGACCATTAGCTTGATGGCTGACTTTCACTGAAAACCTCAGGCGAACGCTTCTCTTGTTGAGGTTATTCTTTTCTTAGCAACATGAGTAACTACTTCAGGCTTGAAGGCTAGTTCTTCCAGAGCTGTGTTTTGATCACTCGCCTAGGCTAGGTTAGATTGATGCTGCTTTGTGTTCTCCACGGTTGTGCTTCTGCCAGGCCGGTGGAGAGACAATTTATTCTTGAGTGGCGTGATGAAAAGCAAAGTAACTGTGTACACTTTCTCGTTTCTCTAAATTCCTATCAGGTAATTTTTGTGCAGAATTGGCCTGTTTCACTAACCTGTTAGGGACCACTAATTCAGCACATTTCCATTTGCAGCGGTAGTGGTGTATTAATTTAAAAATAAGGAGTGAGGTTTTTTTCCATGTGCTTTAAGTCCTCACCCAGTGAAACACAGATCTCTGAAGTGCTCATCTCTGAACTGAACCGCATAAATATTTGTGTTGCAGAGTCCTGAATGTTCTGGTGCTGACATCTCTGAATACAGATTAGAGTGGGGAGAAGATGAGGAATCTCTACAACTTGCATATAATGGCACAGATACCTGTTTTGAAATCGGTGAACTGTCAGCTGCGGCACATTACTGCTGTAGGCTACAGGTATGGAAGTTGAATTTTTGCTTGCATTGCAGTCCAAGATGTCAGCAGAGTTTCCTTCTACTCTGTGTTTATTTTTATCGTTAGGCACAAAGTTATGTGCTCTGTAAGTCAGAAGGAATGTACATTTATTTAAAAAAATGCAAACTGTTGCTGTATAACTGAACAGTTTAGTTTCTGCACATTTCAAAGTGGTAAACAAGGGAATTGGTATAACTTTTCACTCTCGAAAATTGCTCTCTTGGATCATGTAGTTTATTTTCAGTGAATAATGCTTTTAACAGCCACCTTCCCCTCTGATATCAAAACAAAAAGATAATGTTTTAGACAATTTAAAAAAGAAAATTTTATTTCTTTGTAATGAGAAGTAAACAATATCTACCTCCCAACTGGATGTTGAAGATTCCCCTAACTTAAATAATAAACTACAACATCTGTTTCATTTATCAAATACTACAAACCAGCCGAGTAGATTCCTGTGTATGTAGGAGAGAGTAGCTGCCAGAAAGTGAGTCCTCATCCTTATCTTCTTGTCTCTCGGATTTGTAAGATGGGATCTCATACAGAATCTCTGTATGATTTCTTTTTCTTTGATCTCTCTCCTATTATTTTCAATAAAAAGTAACAGTTTAAATAGATTTCTTACATATCTGAACATAAAAATACAGCACTTTTTCTCCTTTAGGCCCACAGAAAAATAAATGCAAAGGAAAGTAAGTGGAAGTGAAGTAAAAATATCCTGGCCCAAGATACTCTTCCACAAGATTTACTTGTGTGTGAGGACAGAATGTCACAGTAAATCCGACAAAAAGTTCATGTACCCGCCCAGCTGGCAACGGGTGGACCACCCAACGTCATTTCTTTGATGAAGGACAACATGCTTCTGTTGAGTGTTTCCCTCTTAAATTTTTTTTTAACAGGACTTGGATTTTTTTTTTTTTTAACTAAGTAGCTTTCGAGCAGCTGGCCAACAGCCACAGAGCTGGGACCTCACACCTCTGAGAACGCTCAACTGTGCGTTCTGGCTTGGCAATAGCCGGCCACGTACCTTGCGCTGGCACTGCTGGGGAAGGCGGATTGCAAGAGCATGTGTGAGTGGCCTGGGAGCGTGAGCCACAAAGTGCCTCTTGTTTGCGCAGGAGGGAAAGCGGTCAGCGCCCGCTGGGCAGGGAGGGACCATGAGACCCCTTCTGCGGTCAGCAGCGGGTAGTTCAAGGAGATTTTAATGTTAAAGCTGGAAACAGCCAGCTGTGTAGCGCCTTTGATTTCCAGCGAGCGCTCACTCTGAATTACCTGCTGCAAAAATGTGGTGCAGATCCACCCAGGTTTTTATCACAGCCAACATAACTTAATCCATAGGCAGAAGTTAAATTAAATGCTCAGCAGCATTAAGACATTTTATTGAAGTTCATCAGTGCCCTGTGCATTTAGAGGGCTTAATCCTCAATCTGATCTGTGTATTATAAGAAGAATTTGTTACAAGATACTCTGGAACACTTAAAGGTTTACCCCAAAAAAGAGAACAAAGCCTGTATAGCAGACAAAGAAAGTTAAATAGTTTCAGAAATCTTAGTCTCTTCTTTCTAAATAAAAAGGAGAGAATAGATGTTTTTCTTATCTCTTAGCAGCTTTAGCAAAAAAATCTTTGGTTTGCTTTTGAAAAATAAAGATTTCCCAAGCCACATTTACTTTGCCTTTTAATAAACAGACAGTATTGCTATCTCAATCTACAGTAACTCAATAAAAAGAGAGAATTGAGGAATCGGGCATATATAACTGCAGGGCAGACAATTTTTCTTTACTGTTGCTCAACTTTTTTCCTGTAATGAATATTCCTGAAAACAACTGTGCCTTCTGCAAAGGGAAATATTGTGTCATTTGGGGCAGGGGGAAGTATCTAGGAAGGAAAGAAGAAAGAAATTCCCATCAGTTATGATGATGAGATTGTCCAATAAGGCACTTAAAAGCATCACTACAAATAAATCGCTTGGAGCAAGACACAGATTGCCAAACACTCGTTTAGAGGCAAGACAAATAGTATCACTGGGAGACCACAAAACAAGGCTCACTTGTAACAGCTCCAGGAGCGCTTCCCTAAATGGAAGATGTCCCTGGAGCAGGATTTGTTTTGAAGAGCTTTTTAAAGGCTGACAAATCTAACTTTATTATCTTTCTTCAATTGAACAAAACACCTCCTGGAAAAGCAGGACATGGCTTTGTGTTTGCATTATGCATAGCAGAAATGAGTTTTTCACTGGAGTAGAGCATAGATAAGGAATCAAACAATTGTTTGACATGTCCTTTCCTTGCCATCGTAGTCCTGCTGGCATCATTGTAAACCCAGGTTTTCCAATTAATTGTTATGTGGTGGGAAACTCTGGGCTCACTTTTCTCAATGCAAAGGAAATGTGGCTGGTGGATGATGCTGGGCATAGTCAAAAGCTGCTTTTGAAGGTCTGGACCTTCTGGATGATCTGTAGCTCAGCCTGTACCATAACATGCTGTCAAGAGCTCTCCTTGTGCCTTGTGAGCTAGCAGCTTGCTGGTGTCAGGAGGAACCCAGCTCGCAGACCAAGGGAATGTGGTATGGCCTGTTACAGGCCATTCATGGGGCCCTGGAATACTGTGTCCATTTTAGAGCCAGGCAGAGGTGGAAGGAGAGGTGTTCAGATGAGATATAAAGAAAGAAGTTACCACTGAGCGGACAATTAAGGGTTGTAACAGTAGTCCAGAGGGGCTGTGCAATCTCCATCCTTGGATTTTTTCAAGATCCAACTGGACAAAAGCCTGAGTACCTTGGTCTGTACTCAGCTTTGACCCTGCTTGGAGTAGCAGGTTGGACTAGATGTGTCCCATGGTCCCTTCCAGCCTGCGTGGTTCTGTGAGTGTGTGCACAGGATGCAATAATAATCCCGAGGAGGTAATGACAGTCGCTTCCTAGGCCATTCCAGTGCAGCATATAGAGTGTTTGCTACTGACTGAGCATCAAATGATGAAAAAAACAGTCTGTACTGTTGTGCAATGTCAAGCTTGCATGGACAACAGCCTCTGTAATTCGTGAGCAGAGGTGGACCAGGTCTTGAAACCCGGTTTCCACTGGAGTTCTGGATCTATGAGTCAAGATGAGAAGCTTGATAATAGGTTGCTCTCTTGTGGAAAATATTGAGGTAGGTGCTTTGGTGGTGGTTTGCTACTGATTTGTGACTTCTGAGGAAGTCTGAGTCATGGACTTACCGCCACGCTGCGTTCCTATAATCTTGTATCAGTAACATTTTAGCATGAGGGTAGCTAGCATTCCCTGAGTTAGGAACCAGCGTAGCGCTCATCGAGCCAAATGCCCCTGATGGCTAGGGGTACTCTGCTTGCATAAAGCATCTGATGTTGCACTCTGCAGTACGCTGAGGGTTTTGTACAGGGCAGCTCAACAATTTTGAGTAGCCAGTTGGCTGAACAGCATGGTCACCTGTCACTGACAGCATGACTCTGATGCTCTCCCTTAATCAAAGTTTGGGGCTGATAAAAAGGTTACTGTTAAGTTTGATTAAATAGTTATTAGAGAAAAGAGAAATAGCCTCCAATTTATCTGAGAGGTACTCCTGAGTAACAAAGATATTAATTGCTGTAGTATAGGCAGAGGGTATGACATGCTTTAGAGAATAAGGATGTGATCCTTCACATCCTCTGAAGAATCCATGCAACTCTTCCAGCCTGCACAGCTCATTATTATGAACTCAACAGACACGTGAAAGTCAACGTTTATCCTGTAAATTTATTTTTATTTGTCACACAGGCTATTAACCAGGCAGGAGCTGGACCCTACAGTGACCTGGTAACCTGCAGAATCCCCGCATCTGTGCCTGATGCAGTCTCTACCCTCTCCGTGCTGGAGGATGAGCACGTGGATGCCTGTCAGCTCTCACCCTCTGTGTGCCTTGTACTGAACTGGGAAGAACCATGCAGTAATGGAGCCGAGATTACATCGTACAACATTGACCTGGGTGACATCAGCATTCCAGTAGGAAATGTTACAACCTACGTTATTGATGATTTGCTTCCAGAAACCTCATACCGGTGAGTAAATTTTTTTTGATGTGGTACAGAGCGCTCAGCATGAGATCACACAGCTTAATTTTACATAGGAAGTGTTTGTCATGTGGAGTGACTACCAAAAAAAAAAAAAAACCAACACCAAAACAACACTGAACCAAAAAGGAACCCCAAACCAACAACCCAAACACCCAACCTACGGAGCATAAAAATCTGCAATAATTTCTTTAAGGAATAAATTGTAATAGTTCATGTTCAAATATTGCTTTTTTTCCTCCTCTACTTGCATTTTCTCTGACCTTCCCTTCTTTTAAGTTGCTCTGTTAAGGTAAAGTTGCACTGGTAGGTAAATAAATTTTAAAAATGGAAAATAACTAAAACTACAATGTGATATCTCCCTTTTTTTTTTTCCAGATGCTCAGCAGTACTATTCCAGGGGGTTATATTATTAACAGTATTGATCCCTATGACAGGATAGCAATTTTCATGCAATGAACTTGCATTTGTATAGCTGCAGCTATTTTTTGTTTCCAGCATATGGAGATTAATTCAAAGATAATCTGAATTTAGAAACAATTTCTTTATATTGCTTCAGATTATAAATTTCTAAGTGACATTGCCAAAATTGTCTTACTCTTTCAATGTTCAAGCTTATATGTTTTTTCCCTAATTACTAATTAAAAAAAAATGGTTTCATGCAGGCAGTGAACAACAATACAGCAGAAGATGTGACAAAAGAAATTCTATTTTAAGTCCTGTTCTAATTAAAAACTGAAACCTGATTGCACAGTTGTAAAATTAGACATGGCACAGACCTGTAATATTTTTCTGGTTTTCTTTGTATTCAAGGTCACAGCTCTACAGGTCTTGTAGAGTTTAAATGAAAAGGTAATTTCTCAAATTGTATCATGTACCCAAAAAAGAGAACTTCTTGTAGCAAATACACAAATATGTATACTAGGAGTTATTTACGGTGAGGTTCATATATTGCTTGCAGTGCCTAGTACCAGGGTTCCTGATGTTTGCCTAGAATATCTAGGTTTTAAAACCATGTAATAAAAAATAAAGATGTAGATTTATTAAGAATACACAGATCCCTCTGGCAAGCTAAATAAAAGCAGGCCAAATAGGAATTTGGTGATTCAGAGCCCCTTCATTGCAGATCACTCGTATAAATCCACGAAACATGACTACGTCATCTCTGTCTCCAGTTCTTCAGTGGCTTGTAACGCCGTAATCCTTTTTGGCAAAGGCAGTAATGAGCTATAAGCTTTTTCTTTCTTCCACTGTGTTTATTTAAGATCCACATTTTGTGGTCAATTTAAGCTAGCATTGCTGTCAAAGGAAGTCTCTTCATCCCTCCTTCTGTTGTCCCCTGTTGTGTCAGCGAAGTGCTCTTGTACCATTGCAGACTGGGAAAACTGGTCAAGTTGAAAACTAACCCTATTTCTTACCTTGTAAAAATGGTAGAGAGAAAGGAATACAGAGAAACTAAGCTGGTTTAAGTTATTTCTGAAAATACTGCACATGCATAAAGCTGCACAAGGGTTTGAGCCAGTTCATGTGGCTGTTGTCATGCTTCTGACCTCCTTCCATCTCCACGTTCTGCCACGTTTCTCTCTCCCTGCCTTGTGTCAGTACTGATGCTTACGTGATCTTACTCTAAATCAGACCAGGGAACCCAACTGACTGAAGACAAACCAGACTTCTGATTAATAAGAAGTTGAAGAGTTTGTCCATCGACTGGCTACCCAGGTGCTGCCATCATCTTCGGGCAGTCTCTTACTCCCTGGTCTCTCCTCATATGTTCAATCAAGAATCAGAACAGCTCAAGCAGAATGAGAGCTTCGAGCAACACGGTCAAGACAGCCAGAATGAACCTTCAGAATTCTTCACTGAAGTCGTCTTTCTTCAGTCTCATTTTTAACTGGTTCTTGATTGCCTATGGCTTCCATTAGAGAAATGTCCTTGTCTTCAAATCCTGGAAATGGAGATATGGAATTAAAGAATAGGGCAGAACATTACTCTTCTTCATAATCATGCTACAGTGTTGTCTGTGAAGCTCTTAGTCCTGCTGCCATGGAAAGTGTTGTTAAACTGAGACCATACTGGATTTTCTTGTGCATTCTTATTTCATTACTTTATAAGAAGCGCCATAGTAAATCACCTGTTTTTAGCCAGGGAGGCTGCTTGTCTCTGATCCAAATGAAAAGGCTAAAGCACAAGCATTAACTTGCAATTATGCTAAATATTGTTGTAAGACTAAGTTCCTACCAAAAAAAAGGTTGTGAAGAGCACAAACCAGTGGATGACTACTCAGAAGTAATGCTATATGCAAGCTCTTTTCTTGAATAAACCAAGAGAAAGCAAGCCCCAACTCTTGAATGTCATGCCTGTCAGGGAGCACAAGTGACTGCAATTGAGTTGCAAAAGCACCTCATCTATAGTTTGAAGCATTTTTCTGCTAACAAAAATGGTCTTTCATTGATATTTTTTCTTCAAGCCTATCTTGACACCTGTCTTTCATCGGGATTGTCTGTGCCCAAAAAGGGACGTGTCAAAGCATTTTTACTATCGATCGCGAAGTTTTTCATTGATATTTTTTCTTCAAGCCTATCTTGACACCTGTCTTTCATCGGGATTGTCTGTGCCCTGATAAATGTACCCGTAAGTAACGTGTTTATCAGGCTGTATGCCAAAAGGTGATGGGTTTTTTGCCCTCCCTTTTTAAATCAAGAAGCATGTTTCAGAACATCATTGACCTCACTCTCTAAATTTGTTCACCAATGGTTTTTCCTTTCGTGTCAAATTTGTTTAACTCAGCTAGCTCATCTCTCTCAAGTGTTTATTCCCTGCTGTGTTTAAAAGCCATGAACGTGTTTTCTTCCAGGCCTTGTTTTTGCTAGACTAAACAAGCCAAACACTACAGGCTTAGAGACTCTGAACTCTTTTGCCAAAGTTTCAGCAGAATTTATAGTAAGTCAGCAAAGGCTTTATATCTTTTTAGTTGCATTGGAATTTCACTGTCACTGTTTTTGTTTGTGGGAACCCAAAATTGAAAGCAAATCTTGGGGTTTTTGTGGATCTACCATGCCCAGAACTGGAAAGGAACATTGTTTTGCATAGCAGTGTGATTCTAATAGTGTGTCTACGCGTGTCCACCCTGTTGGACTTGTTAGCTTAGGTCTGGCTTGGCTCTGCTTCCGTGTGGAAATGGCCATACATGAGCAACTCAAGTATGCACTGAGCCAACTCCAGGCTCTTTGCAGAGGTGGGCTGGAAGCTGACAAGTAGGTGGTTTCTGTGTCTTAGTAGCAAATCCAACCAGCATGCCACAAGAAGGATTTGTATCCCAAAATACATTCAAGGCAGGAGGAACTGGGGCATGCCTCTGCCGTGCTGGGAATGGCCAGCATGGGGCTGCTTCCTAGGGGACTTCTCCAGCGTCAGCCATAGACCAGCATTCCTGTTGCAAAAAGCAGATGCCTCGCAGAAGCACTTGTTGCTGGTGAGCAGAGGCAGAAACGTGTCTGAGTTCCGCAGTCTTGGTGTTTTAGTGACGTAGCCATGAAGCTCTGGTTATAGGGTACTAATACCCAGACTGGTTTTCCGTAAACTGATATAGCTAGAAGTGAGCTAATAAATATTCCACAATAAGTAAGTGTTCAGTAGCAACAGAAATACCAGTTTTCTGTTACACTCTGTCCCAAAGCTTCACTCAACGCTTCCATAGTTAATTGTGCTGTGCCGTTGAGATACTTCACTGTAAAAGAATTTCCAACTTCTAAGAATGCTTATTGATCCTGAAGTTACATAGTTTACAGAAATACATAGTAGCCTTATTAGATTTTAATAGCAACCCTTAACTTTAAGTTGGTTTAGGAACAAAAGTTCTAGACATTTCCAATTTCTAAACTGTATCAAGGAAAAGGTCTTCCGAGATGAAGAGCGGAGAGTGGACGTGGATGCTCAAGTTAGCGATGTTTATGTGGGTTATAAACCAAAAGGTATGCTTCAGAGTGTAAAACTCTTCTTCCAGCCCCATCAAGGTGGGGATCTGTGGGGCTGGTTTGTCCTGGAGGTTGTCCTGTACGTTTGCTATCCATCATGTTCACGCTGCTGACGATGGTGTGGAGCGTGGTGCTTCTGCTCCCTTTTGAAGTCCATGGCATTTTAACTTCCACGGGTTTCCGCAGGCACGTGTATTGCAACTGGTGGCATTCCGCTTATGGGAACTAGTGAGTCAAACTCTTCTCATGTCAGACTCTTAAGATTAATTCAAAAGTGATTTCTCAGTTTGTTGGAATACTACACAAAGGATTTTGTGAACAAACTGAAAATAGCATCCTGTTCAGTGTGTTTATTTTCCTCGGTCAGGAATCTTACAAGATAGAATGGCCTGTTCAAGATCTTGTAATGGTTTCTAAATTTGCCTAGTCTGACTTATTTTTTTCCTAAATGTTTAAAAGATGCAATGGGAAAATGTGAGAATGAGTACAAATATTATTGGTCCAGGGTCTGCAGAATTAGGTGCTATCCCTAAATAGAGTCTTCACATTTAAAAAAAAAAAAAAACCCTCTTAATTTCAAATTGTGATTGCCAGGTTTTAAAACCGCTTTTCCAAGACAGCATTTGGGGTATTTTGCCTTAGAAACCATTACTGCAAAAGTTGAAAGTAATTCAGGAAGTGGTTTTATTGCAAGTATTTCTACATGTCTGTATACTACTTTTACACAAAAATAATTGATTTTTCCCGGTGTCAGTAAACAGGAACTGGTTTCCACTGCATTGTGGAAGTTACCTTACCCACTGTGGCTGTGCCACCCCGCTGGAGGGGCTCAGTGTCACAGGCTGGGGAAGGGACGTGCGAAGGCACCGGAGCTGCAGCAAAGATACTGCAATACAAGGTGTTCTCCCACCATTGTGTGCTATCCCTCCTCCTCCACATGGTCCTTTCTTCCCTTTTTGTTCCCTTCTCCCCTTCCCTGTGGATGTTTCCAAAGCCTAATATCCATTGAGGAGATGCTGCTGTGGCTCGGAGGGAGGTGAGAGCTGGGTCTGGGTTACACTGCCGCGTGTACAGAAAACCAGAACTACCTGTGCGTGTCAGACCAAGCTCAGGACCTGGGGATTACAGTGGCAACTGACAACGAGTTTGATGAAGGTGTCATCAACAAAAAAGGGGTAGCCACATCCAGCCACATTAGAGTCAAATCAATTCTTGCTTTCCCAGTATCATCATTCATCTGGAAGGATGCCTGTCTCTATTTCAAGGCTTCAGAATTTCCATCAGACTTATTGTACTCGCGAGTCAGAAGTCGGGTTTGGGGGAGAGGGTATGTGCATTTTTGTGTCAGAAGGTGGGAGTAGGAACACCACACAGCAAATGGAAGTAACAGTAAATGAGGGAAGAGGAAGAGATGTTTTTACCTTGTGCAGATACCTGGCAAAGGGAAGACAAGTAAGTGCAGACGTATGTTCATGCACATATCTAAAAAGCACAGCTATCAGCTTCTGCTTAAGGAATGTGATGTGACATTTGATGGAGATTTGTTTCAGTCACTGCTTGTTTTCAAGCGTGGTAGCTGCTGTTTGGAAATGTTAGTTATGATGCTTGAGGACAGGAGAGGCTTTGTTATTGCTGAGACTTTGGATAATACAAAATAAAACTAAAAAAGGCTGTGTACTCTAGAGCGTGCTGCTGTAATCAATCTACAGAAAAGTAGTAGCATTTTGTAATGTAGCTGTTAGCGTTTATGTACATATATGCATGGTTAACTTGCCAGAATCCAGTGAAAATTCAGGCAGGTTTTGGTTTTTTTTTAATCTGTAAGGACCATTAAGTATTAATGTAATGACTCGAGTCTGAAGCAAACCAATAATATAATATGAAATGAGATCAATACGCATATTTATTACACTTAAGGTACTAGAAAAGCCTTTAATTCTTTTCATATCAAATGCTTGCATGCAGCAGTTGAAGAGGAGGCTCACACTGAATCTTTCTACATACCATCCACCCTTTGGGACGAGTAGGATGAAATCACCATTGTATAGTGTTGTACAGTGGTCAGGATGAATTTCCTGAAACCAAAAGGAGGGTTAAAAGGAAAATGCAGCTCCACACCAAAGCAATGCTTTACCCTTATCAGTGGCTAGGTCAATAAGCAAAAGTTTCACCACGCAATTACACAGGACTGTGTCAACACAGTGGATTCTTACAGTGTGCGATTATTTAGCTGCCTCATCTGTAGATAAGGTTCTATTATTTTGCAACATGTTTATTAATCTTTTAACTCTCTTTGTTCTTGAAATTGCAGAAAATATGGTTTGGCTGTTTGGGGTTTTGGGTTTTTTTTAATGGTTTGTATTGTTCTCTGGAGGGTTTTTCCCTATTCCTTTAACTCTACCTGATCTTTTTCTACTGGTAGAGCAAAAACTTGCTCTTCAAAGCAGAGTAATTTTTAATTAGGAAAAATCATATGAACTTATATCACTTTACGTAATTCAGTCAAAATAAGTAGCTATGCCAACCAAAGACAGTTCTATTTATCTTCTGCTTTCTCAGTTGTAAGGGTATCCCAGCTTCTGCTCTTCTCCCTTCTCCCCCTTCCTCCTTCCTCAGGGACTTTTGGCTTCTTGGTGGCTGATAGCTTTGAGAAGCAGTAATGCTTCTTGTAGAGAGTCTTTTCCCATGAGAAAATACTAGGCTGCTGTGCACAGGATTTCCAAAGTAAATGGCATCTGTCCAGCTATCTAAACTAGGCTGAACTATCTAAAAAACCTAACTCGTTTGCCCATCCTGTTTTCTCTTACTTTCACTTTGTTTTAACAAACTTTTGGAAACTTTCAGGCTCATCTGTACCCATATTTCTATTTACACAGTTCTCAAAGCTCTTCTGAAATGCGTATTTCACATTTTTGTTAGTTGTTGATGTTAGAATTGTAGAATTATGGTGTTGTTTAGGTTGGAAAAGACCCTTAGGATCATCAAGTCCAACCGTTAACCCAGCACTGCCAAGCCCACCACTAAACCATGTTCCTGAACACCTTGTCCACGTGTCTCTTGGGTACCCTCAGGGATGGTGACTCCACCACCTCCCTGGGCAGCCCATTCCAATGCGTGACAATTCTTTCAGTGAAGAATTTTTTCCTAATATCCAATCTAACCCTCCCCTGGCACAAAGTGAAGCCATTTCCTCTCATCCTATCACTTTTCACTTGACAGAAGAGACCAACCCCCACCTCTTTGCACCCTCCTTTCAGGTAGTTGTAGAGAGAGATAAGGTCTCCTTTCAGCCTCAAGAACAATAACCCATACAGGAAGGAAGATAAGAATCATCTTGATTGACTCTGATCCCTGAAGCAACTCTGGTTTTACTGCCATAGTAGTCCAGATTAGCTGAGGTGTCCTTTGTACCCATATTTCTATTTACACAGTTCTCAAAGCTCTTCTGAAATGCGTATTTCACATTTTTGTTAGTTGTTGATGTTAGAATTGTAGAATTATGGTGTTGTTTAGGTTGGAAAAGACCCTTAGGATCATCAAGTCCAACCGTTAACCCAGCACTGCCAAGCCCACCACTAAACCATGTTCCTGAACACCTTGTCCACGTGTCTCTTGGGTACCCTCAGGGATGGTGACTCCACCACCTCCCTGGGCAGCCCATTCCAATGCGTGACGGCCCTTTCCAGGAAGAAATTTTCCAGTCTGCTGTAGCAGAAGACTACTACTCTTTATTCATTCCTACAAGTGGATTCTCATTGCACAAATTATTAAACTAAGGTGCAAACAGATATGGGAAAGTGGTAAAGCAGAAGCCAGCAGTGATTTATCTTAAGAAAGAAATAGAATTTAGAAGACTGTCTCAGTTATAAGAATATTTCCAAAATAAAACCTCTGTGACTAGGCAGGTGGCCTGCTTTTCTTCTAAATGTCCTTAATGAGATTCAAACAGGTCAAGAGCTTTTGTATAGTGGCAGTGACTTGAGTCCACCTTTTATTTCCTCTAATAGATCTGTTGGTTCATATGTCCACAGTTTAAGACATGTAGAAGGTTTGTGGATTTAACCTTCTCAGTTAGCTCTTCCCAGTAGAGTTTTGTGTACTTAGTGTGTTTTGTGGGACACTGCACACACTGAAATAATACTGATCTTTGGTCTGCAGAGATGTTTACCAACGTGGAGATGGGTGTCATGGCAGTGACACCAATGCTTTCTCTTGGTGATTTCACCTAAATTAGTCCATGACCTTTGTTAGACAACCTCAACACACTTGTGCATTTTATTAATTCGTAGTTACCCACTTAAAGTTTTCCAGGTTGCTCCTGTGTTTGTGCTGCTGTCCCTTGTCCATATGGTTAAAGGGACTGCCATTAGGTTCTAAGGTTGCTTACCCAAATCTTCCCTTTTCTGCTGTGCTGCATTTCGTGATGTCTTCACTGCAGCTCTTTGCAATATAGACAGGATGATTATACTTGCTATGTTTCCAGAGCCTTTCGTTGTGCCAAAGCAGAGCACTGGTAGTGGGCACTGTTAGTCACGGAGCTGTCGAGGGCTGTTTTGTTTCTTGAGGCTTTTTATACCAAGAATCCCATGAAAGCACTTTATTTAACACTTACCTGTTTATTTGTTTTAGAATCAGGATCCAGGCTGTCAATGAAATTGGAGCTGGACCATTTAGCCACTTTATTAAAGCAAAAACCAGGCCGTTACCACCCTTACCTCCTCGGTTGGAGTGTGCTGCAGCAGGTCCTCAGAGCCTGAAGCTGAAATGGGGAGACAGCAGTTCCAAGCTTCATGCTACCGATGACATGGTCTATATCTTGCAGATAGAAGACAGAAACAAAAGGTGAGAGAGATGAACCTTTTCCTTGTGTTAATGAAAATAAATACTGGTTCATGGTAATGCAGTTGTGAATTGTGGTAAGAAAAATGTTGTTTTCCTGATGACTTCGTATCTACAAACATCACCAAAATACTGTTTTAATAGGGATTCTGTACCTGTAGTCTAACCAAGCAAATTACGTAGCAAAGCTGTTAAAGTTGTTATAGACCATTGGAAATCAGTGCTGTGCTGTTGAAATTTTAAGATAACCTGTCCCCTCTGCCAATAAAAGTTAATACGAGTTTCAAAGGATGCTTTACCCTTTGGAATATAGAAAACAAAGATATTGTACCCAACGTGCTGTGTGTATTAATAAAACAACCAGTTACAAAATCAGAGCTCTAGGAAAGGCAAAACTGAGCAGAACAAGGTTTTTTTTTGGACAGCACGATGGTCAGAAATTTTACAACAGTAATCTTTTGGCGCGTTAGAAAATAGGAGCTTGGCATCAGCTCGGTAGCTACACAATAATTATGAAATTAATATGCAGAAAAGCTCATCCCTCATGTTGCACTTCTCTAAAATCTTCCTCAAAGAATCGAGAGCTTTAGGTGTGCACAAGACCCAAAAATTGACATTAAGCAGTGCTCAGCAAGAATGTTTTCCTATACAAAGTTAGAATGGGAAGATTGATAAAGTAGCTCCAAAGTTGTGATGAGCTATATTTTAAAAAAATAATAATAATTGAAAGACAATGTGTGGATGTTGCCTAACAGTCTGAGCTCTTCAATGAATAAATATCATAGATGGCTCATAATTTACTAAGACACACTCTCAACTAGTTTAATTAGGTAAAATAACTGATGTATCAAGTAGATAATCCTTAGAGACTTTCAGCACAGATCATAATTTGGTGTAAATTAGCATAATTCCTTTCATTTAAATAGAGCTGTACTTTGTTTATGCCAGCTGAAGATCTGGCCCCAAAACTCTAATTGTAAGTAATAAAACCACCATGAATAATGCCTAAATACCTCCCGTGGTCTCAACTGTACTGATGCAGAGAGGGTACGTGGTCCCCAGTATTAAGAGAGAGGTGTCGGGTGAATACAAATGCCCAGGTGAAAGTCTGACAGCGAACAACGGTTCCGTCAGAGTGCAGCCGTGCTTGGCAGGAGCCCGTCACCTGCAGCAGCGTGTGATCGAGTCAGCTCTAAAGAAACGTCCAGCAGGCTGCTTTTGTTTGCTTTCCTGCAGCACTGCAGGTAGGATGGTGAAGAACTGTAAATTGTTTTAAACCTGTTTTTTATGTTGGAGGAAATAATAACTTTCCTTGTACGAATAAAATACGATGTGTTACCTGGTAGCAGAGAAGGAAAGCTTTTTTCTCCTTTGCTTTTGCACAGGGCTTTAGCATCATTCTTTGCTTTTGCACAAACTACTTCCACTGCAAATGGTGTCGTAAGAGCTGTTAATTAGGAGGAATTTGAACTTGTTGCTCTGCTCTTGTAGCTTTAAATTTAGGTTATAGTCCACAGCAGCTCCCCGAGATGCAGAGAAACTACTCCCCTCCATTGCACTGATTGTCTCCTGCTTGAATTGAGTCCCTGCATGAAATCGCTTCCTTTGGTGGTCGGGTTTGTAGCAATTAGTTCCCGTGACACCCAAAATGAGCCGTAGCCCCAAGCCCTCTGGCTGATGAAGTGCACACCGGCGTGGGCACAGCAGAGAACAGAATGTGTGTGCTCTTGTCCCTGCCGGGTGCCGTGTATGACAACAGTTGGACCTGGCAGGTCTTGGCAATAAGATCTATTTATTTGTTCCCTCTCTGACAGTCCCTTTTTGCTCCCCATTGAGTGCATCAATCACGAGAGATGTTCTGAAAGGGTACGGCGGCGAAGCTCTGTACATTCGGGAGAGCGATCATTCCTAATGAAGAGAGAATGACAGCCCACACATAAATTGGTAGAAACAGCAGTTAGTTACAGAGGTAGGAGTCCTCTCTTGGATCATTCCCATAAAACAAACCCCATTGTGGCTGTGGGGTTACTCAGTCATGTGTATCCTTGTGAAAAATACCAGAGTGCAATTCTTGGAGCGTCGCTGGCCCCTTTAATTGTGCAGTGCTGTAGGAAGCTAATGCAGGTAAACCACGGACATCGAATGGAATAATGAAACACTAGTCTCCAGTGAAAAATGACACAGCATAAATTATCTAGAAAGGTGTTTTGGAGTCTGTTATGGTTTGAAGGGGTTGCAGGAAGGTTCCATGGTGTCCCCTCTGTTCAGAGAAGAGACAGCTTCCGAGTCAGGAGAAGAGGCTGTGGTGTAAACATGGATAGCTCAGAAGTGTTCTTGTCATATCCTTAGTCTTTTGGAAGATAGTGTTACTGTCTTCTCTGAGACATCTGGAATTACTATGATTTGCTTTATATTAAAACCCCTCCACGCAGTATTACAATTTTCCCTTCTTCAGCCAATCTGAGCATGCAGTTTGCTTACTGATGAGTTTTAAAATAGGATTTATCTTTAAAATACCGATGAAGCATTTTCACAAACAAAGATGAGCAAGCTGTTTTGGGTTTGTGTTGGTTTGGTTTTTTTTAAAAAAAAGGAAATTGCCAGTAACTCAAATTCTGACCCTGATGGCTTTAATGGCCTTTTCGTAGACCCGGCTCTGGGTTTATGCGGCGATAGTCAGCCAGTGCTCTTGAATGTGTTCTGATCATTAAGAAGTGTTTTTAACTTCTCCATGCTTTAATGAGAAATAACAGGCCAGTTGTTGGAGACTAAATGTTTCATTGATTGCATGACCTGTGAAACAAAATACTTGGAAATCTCCTGACACTGATTAATGTAGGGGCTTGGAAAGGTGTGCACATCAGAAATGTACTTGCTTTAGCTCTCATTTGCTCTTCAGTGTGTGACATTTAGGAAGATCAAATTAGCATCTCTTGTCCTTTCAATTATGTGTAGCATTAAGTGGAAATGAAGAAAAATCTGTTTCTAGAAAGCACAGTACATGGGAAAGTTAGTTGAGAGTAGTTGACCTTTATGTAAAGAGGACTATAAAATTTCTTTCTTTTTTAAATAAACTGTCAGTTGTGACTTCATTTCCTAACGCTAATAATGTCAAGAAAATCATGTTAATCAAATTGCTTTTTTTTCTGAAAACTGTGGATTTTTTCTCTCCAGGTGAAACAAATGAACCTAATTATAGTAATGCTTCTGATTTTTTCCCTATACTGGTAATTAGTCTTTAGTTGTTCCTATGACTAATTATACCTCTTAGTGTCTTAAAAATGCTCACAACATCCAGCCTGAAAAACCGAACTAGCAAGTACATTATTAATGGGTCATTTATCAGTTGCTTGTGTTTCTTTTAGATGAGTATATGTTGCAGTTGAGATGTATTCTGTGATTTTTCTGTGTATACAGAATCCAAATAAATAATTATATTTTAAGGGAGAATCATTGGTAAGGTTGGCTAAGAAGCAACCTAAGCATACTCTTTAAATATATCTACAAAGGATCATTGATAATTCTTAATAAGTCTGCTTTTGTAACTGATGGTGTTTACTGGCATTCTAAACTAATTGCTTTTGTTAAGGTTATTGACTGAATTAAATGAGTTCTGACCCCGTACCACTGAGCAAACAGTAGTAGTAGTTCCCTTTCCTATCATGTGAAAGATTATTTATGTGGGGTTTAAAACACTTGGCTAAACTATTATTGTTTGCCATTTAAGGAGATGTTATTCTTCAATATAAATGAAAGATTGATCTCAAAATTGAACATGCCTAATGGTTATAATTTTCTCAGTAGCAAAGGGAGATGTATTGTCCAGTTCCAGTGCCTGCTAACCCAGACGTTAGTGATACTCCTGGCAGTCTTCCTCAGCTGCGGGGTAAGCTGCTTCACTGGTCATAGGAAACCTATATGAAAGGGAAAAGTACTGTTTTTTTAAAATCCACCACTATATTCCAAGGTGAGAGGAACCAAGAAGCACTTGTCAGGAGGTGGTTTCCAAGGGAAATCAGGCATGCTTTGAACAGTAAAGCCAGTACAGAGATGGGCTCATTTTTTCTCCAGAAAGGTTTGGTTTTAGGAAGTTTCTAGCTTTCCCAGTGATTCTCCCATCATTCTGTCATCTTCACCTGGTGACACTGGAAACCTTTCTCCCCCAAACAAGCTGAAGCTGTATATAGCACAAGAAACTCTTTTTCCCTTTGCTCCAGCACTGTTTCTCTGACCTAGTTACTCCTTAAAGAAGCATAACAAACAGCAGAGAACCCACAAATGAAATGGACACCATCTGTCACAGCATCCAGCCTGCTTTCCTGGGCTGTAGAAGTGGAATGTCATATCTGATGGTTCGGTCTAAGCAGCAGTCTTTGCAGAAAGAGACTGCCAAGAAAGTGTGTTAGGAAGTCATCACATGTATGAGCCTCAGCAAGTATGTTTGCTCTGCATTAATGTGAAGAGAGGTAAAATATAAATAGAGAGAGATAAATTGCTAAATGTGCTGCCTCTGTCTGGTGACTAGCATAATCATTATCTGGTTACTGCAAGTTTCAAGCAGTCTAATTAAAAAATTGTTTACACTCATGATTTGATCAAGACAATTTACACCCATTTTAGCAGCAATTACTGATATGTATCAGGCCTACTGGCTTGTGAAATTCTATTAAAATACAAAATTGGATACATTAACATATCCTTGCAAAAACCTGCAGGAAAAATCATTTTCATATTGGGTAAAACAATGATGAAAGGAAATTAACAATTAGCATCAAGACATATGGCATACTACTGTTTACTCTGCAAGCCTGGCTAATAGAAAGTTAACATTCAGAAAAGTCTTTGAAATACTCTGTCTTCATACTGTGGCATTGTGTAGATGAGTATTGCCATTAACAGTAATCATATGTATATTAAGAGCATCCTGATCAGGTACTTGGAGCTGTGCAAATGGAACAGAATCATAAAATCACAGAATGGTTTGGGTTGGAAGGGACCTTAAA